CCCAGGCAAAAGCTGCTTGGAAGGTCAATGTCTGAGAAAGATTCCTATGCTGTATGGGGGAATGACTGAGCACCAGGGTCCAGATGTCCAGATGGATGCCCTCAGATCTATTTCCCCAGCCAGCTCCCCTGGGTTCTCCTCACACTGCTGTAGTCCACTCTGCCTTGCCTCTGCCAGAGCCCAAGGAGAGTGGCTGCACATGAAACATTGTGTGTTGGCCCTTTTAGAGGGTGCCTGCATTTCCAGCCATCTCTCCCTGGCAGACAGAAACCCAGCTGCTTTTCACAGCCAGATGTCATATGGGTACCTTTCTCAGTACTGGTGCTCTGTGCTGGGCAGCCCAGCTTGGGGTTTAGATCCCAGAGTTCTCAGTGGGAACCCCCACAGCTGAGATATCCCTGCAGACCTTCAGTTGTTGCCTGTTGGAGCCCAGCCAGCCCTCTCATGCCTCTGCACTTCCTACCAATCTCTATGTGGTCTCCACTTTTCTTCCTTGGTTATGAGGGTGCTCCCCAGCTAGTCTTCAGTTGCAGTTGATTATTCAGGGTAATTTTTCTATATTTTAGTTGTAATTTCAGTTTGGTCCTGGGAGAGTGTCAGTGTAGCTTCCATTCAACCCATCGCCATCTTGGATCTCCTGGAAATTTTCCTGATATTAAATAATTATAGCCTTGAGTCAAATTATCAAGGTTTGTAGTGAGAAATATCTATAGTTAATTGAAATATAGATAAAACATATGACTATACAAGTTAAAATTTAATTTTGTATCCATATGAATGGGCATAGGTACCAGAAATTTAGCTCGAGCCTCTAAGTCATGTAAAATTGGAACTTCATCTCTTCATAACTTTGTTTAATGAGATGAATGGGGTTGTTTTTTGAAGATTTGAGAAGTTTAATAATAGCTAATACTTATAGTGCACTTACTGTATGCTACATATTATTCCCCAAATGTTTGCATATATTACCTCATGTAATCTTCATAATAACCCATTTTAATGTAAGGAGACTTAGATACAGAAAGATCAAGAAACAAATAGCTTATCCAAAGTCAAGCAGTAAATGGCAGAGCTGCTATTCAAACTTGGGTATTCTGACTTCAAAGCCAGGTACAGTGTCCTAAGCATTGAGATCAAATATTTGTGGGATAGCATTATGATATATCATTACATATGCAAACACTGTTTTGTGGATCTGTTTTAAAGTTAATACCTCAAGTAAATTTTTTAATGTTCATTCAAGAGAGGTATATAAATAGAAGAGCAAAAAATTATCATTTTTATCCATTTAAAAAATATGTTTATGGTTTTCAGGCCAAACAGCAGTGGTGTGATGGCAGAAATTGTTATGAAATTTAAATTCTCTAGAAATAACAATGCAGCATCAATGAAAAGCAGAATTGAGTCTGTTTTACTTCAAATACCGAATAAGTTTGAAAACTTGGAAATAAACCCTTCGACTGAGATAACATGCAAGTACCATTTTTATATAGCATTTTATTTCCATAAGTCCCTCAATGTAACTTAAACTACATTTTAAATTAATAAGAGACTAACTTTTTTTTTCCTTGGAATTAAACTTTATGAAAACAATACACTATAAAGCTAAATATAATATGTAGCCCTCTAATATAAAACATTCTAAAGTTTAAAAAATCATTTAGCACTCATACAGTAAATTTTATTTGCTACAAATTATTTATTTTCTCTTTCAATACTTCTTATGAGGATTGTTGTTTTCAGATGTTCAATTTGTAGGTATGTTGCAGGAATGGTAAATAGCTTCTCAAGGTCAGAGGACAATTTAATGATCACCTCACCCAGAAGAGAGCATGCAGCTGTAAGGTGTCTGGTAAATACTTGTAGAATAAAGAAGGAAATTAGGAGGCTTAGCAATATCCCTATATTCTCTCTGGAAAGCATCTCTACTTCTGACTTTCTTGAATCTACATCCATTTTCTTCCATCCCAGGGAGTTGGGATTTGAAGTCAGGTCTCTCTTGTTCAAAGGAGGAAAAGCAGTGGTCAGCTCTTTTTATTTCCTGACTCCAAAAGGATTTTTTAGCTCCTCTGACATGTAAAAAGCAAATGTGAAACTTCTGGCAGTGAATAAGTTTGCATAAATTGATTTTAAAGAGTGTGATAACCTGTCTTGAGTTTAGATTTACCTTATAGGAAATAAGGAACTGATTTATCATTAAAAGATTTCAAGCAGAGAAAGATATAGCCTGACATACATTTTTAGAAAAATCAGTCTGGTAAAGTAGAGGTGGATGCATGGAAAAGTGCAAAGTGGAGGCAGGGAATCCAGTTTGAAGGTTATTGTAAGAGTGTAGGTGTCAAATGATGAAAGCATAAATTAAAGCAGTGGCCAACAGGATGGGGAGGATGGGACTAATTCAAAGGAGAATTAGAGGCTAGAAAGTACAAAATCTGGAAACCAGTAAGATGTGAAAAGTACAAGAAAGAAAGTGTTATAAGATCATTTCAGATGTCTAACTACTGGTGGAAGTGGTGTCATTACTAAATGAGGAACCCAGGAATCTGCATTTTAGCAGCTCTCTAAGTATTTCTGAATATGGTTATCTGAGGGCTACCCTTTAAGAAATTAAAATAAGATGATACACAGTCAGCCCAGCCAGTCGTAGCTCAGCAATTGAGCGTCGACCTAGGATCCAGGAGATTGGGGTTTGATTCCCGGTCAGGGCACATGCCTGGGTTGCAGGCTGCAGCCGATCAATGACTCTCTCATCATTGATGTTTCTATCTCCCTCTCTCCCTCTTCCTTTCTCTCTCTGAAATCAATAAAGATATAAAAAAAAGTTATATAGTCCTTAATATATTAATCTGACTCTCACTCTTTTGTTTTTTGATGCCAGCTCTTACTGACCAGGATACAGTAGAAATGTTCAATCAAGGTAACTTTTAAAATTATTTTGTAAATATGGTTTACCAGAATATAAAGAGTAAGTGGTCTATTCATTTGTGCCCTTTGCCAAAGCAGTGTCTTTTGAGGTGTTATCTTTATTCTTTAGTTCACTCACATGGACTGTTGTTGAGATAAGACATTGTTGATTCCATTGGCCCATAGAGTGCTACTCAAGTTTTCCCCTCTTTTCAGAGGAAAAGAGAGGTAGCAGTGGCATTCCACTCAATCTGCACTGAGTGTGACCTCATGAAAAATTTCTTGGCAGCTTTGGGAAGCTTTTCCTGCCCTGATCCTATGGTGCATTTCTATAAAAGTGTAAATTATGTTTGGTGACATCATTTATATGGCTTCTCCTAACCACTACAATAGTTTGCTTTGTTGTGGATTTAAGTTCATTATAAAGTATAATTTTTTTAAATTATAAAAAGAGTTGTCAATTTTATGTCATTAACCTAAAGGAAAAGTCGCTACTTTCCAGTGTCATTCTGTATACTCTCAGGCCAGGAGAGCAGAAATGTAATCACTAGAAAACAGCAGTTTACTTCTCTGCTGATAAAGTGTAGTTAGAAAATAGTTTAGTGACATCAGAGGAATGGCAGCATGAGAGATCCCATTGGCCTCTCTCCCTGAAATTTCAACAAATTAACCAACTATAATTCAACAAAGAATTCCCTACTCAATACAGAGGCACACCTGAGAGACCTAAACATTGACACATCTAAAGGGGGGCAACCAGGAATAAACAGGGAGACAAGAAGGGAGTAAAAATCAGACACAGCCCTGCAGCTGGGAGCAGGCAATAGCCGGTGCTTAGTGCTTCCTTCAGCTGGGAGGAAAAGAGAGCTGCAGGGGGCAGTCCAGCAGTGCTAGCAGAGCAGTGACTAAGCCAGCAGATGCCTGACAGAGCACAGGGTTCTGCCACATGCTGTCCACTGTCAGGTGGTGGTGTTTCGGACAAAGAAATGGAAAAACAGAGCCGTGCTGCCCCTTGGACTCCCAAAACAAACTTGCCTCCTGTTGCCCTCAATGTCAGGTCAAGGAGCATATTATTTGTAAACCAAGAGCTACTGCAGTAGAACCACTATTTCCCTCTGTGACTGATCCCCAGGTGCTTAGTGAGGGCTAAAAAATCTGACTCCCAAGCAGCAAGGCTGTACTGTCCTACAGAAGTTGTGGTGGTCAAGTCTGGGAGCTCAGAGGTTAAAAAAATAAATAAATAAATCTTGTGATTCAGCACCATCTACTGGAAAGTAGTAGAAAGACCTCTTCAGAGAATGCTACTATAAAAGGGACATTTATGCCTAGACAAAGGAGAATAGCAAAAATCATGAATAACCATGATAGTGAAGATGATCAGAAAGAAAATAAAAACACCCCAGAAAGGAAGCTGGAATACATGGAAATATGTGATATAAATGACAGATTTCAAGATTGCAGTTCTGAAAATACTCAATGAGATGAAAGAAAATACAGATAGGCAATTCAGTACACTCAGAAAACAAATTAATGAAAAAAAAAAAACAAAAAAACTTTACCACAGAGATTGAAACTTTAAAAAAGAACCAATCAGATATCCTGGACTTTAAGCAAGCAATTAAGGAGATTAAGAATGAGCTTCTGAGCATAGAAACAGAGTCAACCAGATGGAGGAAAGAATTAGTGATTTTGAAGATAAGAATCTAGAAATGGTGCAGAGGGAAGAAGAGAGAGACCTGAGCATAAATAAAAATGAAAGAGCTCTATGAGAACTATATAAATCCATTAGAAAAAAAGTAATATTAGAATAATAGGCATTCTAGCAGAAGGGAACGGAAAGTCTATTCAAACAAATAGTGGATGAAAACTTCCCAAACCTATGGAAAGAACTAGATCCTCAAATCCAAGAAGCTAACAGAACACCTCACTACCTCAATCCAAAGAGGCCCTCTCCAAGGCACATAGTATTAAAACTGTAAAAAATTAATGACAAAAAAAAAAAAAATTCTCAAAGCAGCCAGGGAAAAGAAGGAAGTGACCTACAAAAGAAAACCAATCTGAATTTCATCCGACTTCTCAGAAGAGACTCTACAAGCCAGAATAGAATGGAACCAAGTATTCAAAGGTCTGAAAGAGAGAAATTATCAGCCACAGATAATATATACAGCAAAATTATCCTTTAAATATGAAAGAGAAATAAAGATGTTCCCAGACATATAGAAGCCGATGGATTTTATCGCCAGAAAACCCTCATTGCAAGAAATACTCAAGGGAGTTATTCTACCTGAAACAAAGAACATAAGGTGACAACACTACGAGTAAGATCACCAAAAAACTTACACCCTAAACAGGGATAATTTGTGACAACAAAAACGTAAAAGCAGAGGGAATAAAGGTCTGAACTGGCAAAGAAGAATGAACATCAGATGCACTGGAAAGAAAAAAAAATTATATATATGCAACTTTATTTTTTATAAACCTAACGGTAACCAACACAAAAATCCCCAAACCAGCATGCATAGCTTTAAAAAAGAGGACATAGAGGAAAGAAGTATGAAACACCACCAAACAAAAACATACAGAAGCACAAAGGAAAAGAACCAATGGAGGCACAGAGCTACCAGAAATGAAAGATAACATGGCTACAGGAAATCCTCCTACATCAATAATTACCCTAAATGTAAATGGTCTAAATTCACCAATAAAGAGGCACAGAGTAGCAGAGTGGATCAAGTAACAAAACCCAACCATATGCTGCCTACAAGAGACACATCTAAGCTGCAAAGGCAAAGGTAGATTCAAAGCAAAAGGGTGGAAAATGATTCTCCAAGCAAATAACATCCACCAAAAAACAGGTATAGCCATAATTATATCTTACAAAAGAAATTTCAAGAAGTAAAAATGACACGAGACAAAGATTGACANTAACAAAACCCAACCATACGCTGCCTACAAGAGACACATCTAAGCTGCAAAGGCAAAGGTAGATTCAAAGCAAAAGGGTGGAAAATGATTCTCCAAGCAAATAACATCCACCAAAAAACAGGTATAGCCATAATTATATCTTACAAAAGAAATTTCAAGAAGTAAAAATGACACGAGACAAAGATTGACACTTTATAATGATAAAGGGGACACTACATCAAGAAAATATAACACTTCTTAATATACATTCACCAAACCTGGGAGCACTGAAATATTTAAAGCAACTACTCACAGAACTAAAGGGAGAAATAGACCAAAGCATAATCATAGTTCGGGACCTTAATACTCCATTGACAGCTCTAGGCTGATCAACAAAACAGAAAATTAATAAAGAAATATCAGCCTTAAATGAAACACTAGACTAAATGCACGTAATTAACATTTACAGAGCCTTTCATCCCAGGACATCAGATTATACATTCTTCTCCAGTGCACATGGAATATTCATTCTCAAAGATAGAGCATATGTTGAGTCACAGAACTAGCATCAACAAATTCAAGAAGATGGAAATTATACCAAACATATTCTCTGACTATAATGCCTTGAAGTTAGAAATCAACTTCCAAAAGGAAGTAAACAAAACCATAAATACAGGGAGATTAAGCAACATACTACTAAAAAAAGTCTGGGTCAAAGAAGAAATAAAAGGTGAAATAAAAAGATATACAGAGGAGGCAAATGAGAAAGACAATACAATACATAGGAATTTCCGGGATGCAGCAAAGGCAATAATAAGAGGGAAGTTTATATCATTATAGGCTTATTTCAAGAAATAAGAGAAATCCCAAGTAAATAACCTAATATCACATCTTAAAGAGCTAGTAAAAGAAGAACAAAATCAACCCAAAGTCAGCAGAAGAAAGGAAATAAGAAAAATTAGATTAGAATTGAATGAAATAGAGAACAAAAAGGCTATACAAAAAAATTAATAAAACAAAGAACTGCTTCTTTGAAAAGATTAATAAAATTGACAAACCCCTGGCTAGGCTCACTAAGGAAGAAAGAGAAAAGACCCATATAAACAAAATCAGAAATGAGAAAGGAGAAGTCAGCACAGACAACACAGGTATACAAAGGATCATACTGTTATGAAAGACTATATGCCAAAAAATTCAATAACCTAGAAGAAATGGATAAGTTCCTAGAAATAGACAATCTTCCTAGACTAAATCATAAAGAACTGGAAAATCTAAATAGACCAATCAGCAGTGAGGAAATTGAAACAACCATCAAAAACCTCCCTAAAAATAAAAGTCCAGGACCAGATGGCTTTATTAGTGAATTCTACCAAACACTCAAAGATTTAAAATCTATCCTTCTCAAACTCTTCCAAAAATTTGAAGAAAAGGCAATACTTCCAAACATATTTTATGAGGCTAATATAACTCTAACACCAGAACATGGAAGGATAACACACAAAAAGAAAACTACAGGCCAATATCTCTGATGAATACAGATGTAAAAAACCCTAAACAGAATACTAACAAATTAAATACAAAAGTATATCAGAAAAATAATATGTCACAATCAAGTGGGGTTCATTCCAGGGACACAAGGATGGCTCAACATATGTAAATTAATCAATGTAATACACTACATTAACAAAAGAAAGGATAAAAATCATATGATCTTATCAATAGATGCAGAAAAAGCATTTGATAAGATACAACATCCATTTATGATTAAAACACTCAATAAAATAAGAATAGAAGGAAAGTACCTTAACATAATAAAGGCCATATATGATAAACCCTCAGTTAATATACTCAGTGGTGAAAAACTGAAAGCTTTCCCTCTAAGATCAGGAACAAGGCAAGGATGTCCACTCTCACCACTCTTATTCAACATAGTTCTGGAAGTCCTAGCTGGAGCAATAAGGCAAGAAAAAGAAATAAAAGGCATCCAAATAGGGAAGGAAGAAGTAAAACTACCACTTTTTGCAGATGACATGATTCTGTATAGAGAAAACCTAAAGACTCCACCAAAAAAACTATTAGAAACAATGAACAAATACTGTAAAGTTGCAGGATACAAAATCAATGTAACAAAAATCCATTGCTTTCCTCTATACTAACAACATAATTTCAGAAAAAGAAATGAAAAAAAAATTCCTTTTGCAGTTGCAACCAAAATAATACAATACCTAGGAATAAACTTAATAAACAACATGAAAGACCTATATGCTGAAAACTACAAAGCATTATTAAAAGAGATTGAAAAAGACACAACAAAATGGAAAAATATCCCATGTTCATGTAGTGGAAGAATCAACATAGTTAAAATGGCCATATTACCCAAAGCAATATACAGATTTAATACAATCCCCATCAAAATCCCAATATAATTTCTTAAAGAAATAGAATGAGAAATCATCAGAAATTTATGGAACCACAAGAGACCTTGATAGCCAAAGCGATCCGGAGAAAAAAGAACAAAGCTGGAGGTATCATGCTACCTGACTTCATATTATACTACAGAGCTACAATAATCAAAACAGCATGGTATTGGCAGAGAAACAAATGGATCAGTGGAACAGAAAAGAGAGTCTAGATATAAAACCACATGTATATGGGCACATAATTTTTTACAAAGGAACCGGAAACACATAATGGAGTAAAGGTAGTCTCTTCAATAAACGGTGCTGGGAAAACTGGAAAGCCACATGCAAAACAATGAAACTGGATTACAGCTTATCCCCATGTACAAAAATTAACTCAAAATGAATCAAAGACCTAAATATAAGACCCGAAACAATAAGTTACATAGAAGAAAACATAGGTACCAAACTTATGAACCTTGGTCATAGAGAACACTTTATGAACTTGTCCCCAAAGGCAAGGGAAGTAAAGGCAAAAATAAATGAATGGGACTATATCAAACTAAAAAGCTTCTGCACAGCAAAAGAAACTGACAACAATGCAAAGAGGCAGCCAACCAGATGGGGGATGGTATTTATAAACAGTAGCTCTGATAAAGGTTTAATTTCCAAAATATATAAAGAACTCATAAAACTCAACACCAAAGAAACAAACAAGCCAATCAAAAAGTGGGCAGAGGACCTGAACAGACACCTCTCCCAAGAAGACATACAAACAACCAATAGATATATGAAAAGATGCTCAACTTCACTAACAATTAGGAAAATGCAAATCAAAACTACAATGAGATACCGCCTCACACCTGTTAGAATGGCTGTTATCAATAAGAAAAGCAATAACAAGTGTTGGAGAGGCTGTGGAGAAAAGGGAACCCTCATTCACTACTGGTGGGAATGTAGATGGTACAACCATTATGGAAAACAGTCCGGCAATTCCTCAAAAAATTAGGAATAGAGTTACCATATGGCCCAGCAATCCCTCTCCTGGGTACATACCTGAAAAAACTCAAAATCGTGTATTCGCAAAGACATATGCACCCCGTGTTCATTGAAGCATTATTCACAGTGGCCAAGACATGGAGACAATCAAAGTGCCCTGCGATAGAGGACTGGATAGAGAAGATGTGGGACATGTACTCAATGGACGCTACTTAGCCACAAGAAAAGATGAAATACTCCCATTTGCAACAACACAGACGGACCTTGAGAATACTATGCTAAGTGAAATAAGTCAGTTAGGAAAAGCTAAGGACCAAATGATTTCACTCATATGTGGGATATAAAACTGAAACTCATGCACACAAACAGCAGTGTGGTGGTTGCCAGAGGGAAGGGGGTGGGTGGTGAAGGGGGTCCTAATATATGGTGATGGGAGAAGATTTGACTTTGGGTGGTATGCACACAGTGAAATATACAGATCTTGTAACATAGAAACCCACACCTGAAACCTATATAATCATATTACTCAATGTCACCCCAATAAATGTAATAAAAAATAAAAATCCTCACTTTCAGTTAATTAAAAAAAAACTAATGTACTGATAGCTGGCCTATTTCAGATACTTAAGTGATGTTACAAGATAATGCTACCTCTATGGGTGTTTTTCAACTTCATTATATTTAATTCATGCTTCATTTTAATGAAAAATGTGCTTAAGTAAATTTCTTGAGGATTTTGTTGGAGGTACATTAAAGGAACCTATGTTCCAGGTACATTCTTAATGGAAGTCTGGCCCTTCTCTATTTCAGAAGTCTGTTAGGAAAAAAAAATTGCCTTTTGATGATTGTGATATTGAAGCAGTGTCACTACCTTAGAGCTTGTCCAGCAATAGAAATTGTTGGTGGTGATATAACTCTAATTTCTTAGTAATAAACAAGAGGAAATATATCATAGGATTGGGAAGTGAGAGGCACTGAGTGACTGACCCACCCCAGCTCATTTCAGCTTTGGCCATTGGAGTGATCATGCGCTCTCTTAAGATGTTTTTGTTTCATTGTTTCTTTTTACTTTTTAAATTTCTTTCAGTTACAGTTCATATTCAATATTATTTTATATTAGTTTCAGGTGAACATGTTTAAATAAACCTTTTGTGTGTGTGTGGTAAGAATGCTTAAGATCTACTCTCAGCAACTTTCAAGGAATTATTTGCAAAGGAATTACTTTAAGTCCACAAAACATACTCTAGAGTGACAGGATCTTAAGCATTCTCACCACACACACACATACAAAAGAGTTCACTATGTGGGGTAATGGATGTCTTAATTATCTTGATCTTGGTCATTATTCAACAATATATATGTGTATCAACTCATCACACTATATGCTTTAAACATATACAATTACATTTATCAATTATTCCTCAAAAAAGTGGAGGGGAAATGTCATTTCTGATTTGTTCCCTAGTGTGGGTTTGAGAGTCAATATTCAACATTTCTTTTTATTCCCCAGCTTTGAGGTATAATTGACAAATAAAATTGTAAGATGAAACATAAAGTATATGATATCATGCCATACACATATTAAAAAGATTCCCCTATCTAGTTAATTAACACATCCATCCTATCATATATTTACCCCTCCCCCTCCTTTTTTGGTAAGAACATTTAAGGTCTATTCCCTTAGCAAATTTCAATTATACAAAACAGTTTAACCAACTGTAGTCACCATGTTATACATTAGATCCTCAGACCATACTCACTTTATGGCTGAAAGTCTGTACCCTTTTACCAAACTTTCCTTATTTCCCCCACACCCCAGCCCCTGACAACTACTTTCTACTCTCTGTTTCTATGAATTTGACTTTTCTTTTTAAGATTCCACATGTGATCCCGTGCAGTAGTTGTTTTTGTCTGGCTCATTGTACTTAACACAACCCATTCTAGGTTCATCAATGTTGCAAATGGCAGGATTTCCTTCTTTTTAAGGCTAAATATTATTCCATTATTCCTGTATGTGTGTGTATTACATTTTCTTGATCCATTTATCTACTGACAGACACTTAGGTTGTTTCCATACAGTGTCAACATTTTTAATAGCTCCCAGGGGTGCCCATACTGCAGATCACAGACCACAGTCTAAAAAGCAAGGCTACAAAGACAGAAACTTCCTAGTGAACCTGTGATCTGTGCTGGTGCATTCAACACTGACCTATCGTGACCCCAGCTCATGAGGAATTCCAGAGAACTCTGAAGCTGATCCAGAATTTGAAGCCACATGCCAATTAAGTTCAGAAATGTTCTCTAAAATTCACTTTATAGGCAACAGTAGTCACATAAGTACTCTAAAAATATAACATTGATCATGCTTTTAGAAAGACTAGCATGTCCTGGGAAAGAATACATAAAAGACAGAATACATAAAAGCCATAAGTGACGAACTCTTGCAATATCTCCCAAAAGTAAATGAATGATGATATCCCCAGAACATTAATGCCTTTTTCCCATTAGAATGTGGGGCCCATCCGAACCTAATAACATTGTCTGAAGAGAGAGTCATGGGAGGCATCAAGGCTGAGGAAGGAGACTGGCCATGGCAAGTGAGTCTACAGCTGAATAACGTCCACTTCTGTGGAGGCATCCTGATCAGTAAGACATGGATCCTGACAGCAGCTCACTGCTTCCGAAGGTGAGGCCACAGTACCTATCCATCTGGAACAACTAGGAAAGATGTATACATGAGGACTCCACCCATACCCCAAGGACTAACCATGATTACACTGAGTGAGAAATAATTCAATGCAAAAAAAATTGAGTATTTTCTTCCTATTCATGATAGCAAAAATATTTTTTCACCTTCAGCTTGCTAATTTATTCCTATTTCTCTATTTCAGGTAATAGTATGTCATCATGTTAAATAACAAAGATTTATATGTCAGAATGTTTAAGTTAAGTCTAAGCTACAAAGGTTAGGAAATTTGTGAACCTCCACAAGCCTCTTTTTTATTATTTTTTCAAATTAGGGGCAAATAGGGACATACTGTTATCTATGTCTTAGTGTTATTGGTAGGATTAAATACGCTAATGCAAACATGTTAAATGTTAGCCCAACAGAGTGTTGCAAAAAATGTGCACATTACATCATGTAAGCTAATCAACAGACTGATGGCTGACCTCAGACTGCCTAATGCCATTAATTTATTCTTTCAAAAAATCGGGTGTCTGCTATGAGCACAGTGTTATCTACTTTAGAAACTAATTAAACAAACTTCCCCTACTTCAAGGGAGACTAAATTCTAATGTTGGAGGTAAACATACACAGAAATAATGATCTATTACAGGGAGTAACATAAAATGAATTTAAACTTACAGAGAATTCTTCATTGATGGGAATAAAGGTTATTGCCAACATGATTAGAGTAATAAACTGCCAGTGGATAGTAGGATACATAAACTTATTCTATTGGCATAAAGAAAAGGTCTCACTGCTCATAATAGAAGATCTTCAGACTTTAGTGTGACTAAAACTTGCTAGGTTCAGACCCACCCTATCATAGACACAAACATTGTGTTTTGGGAGTTTATACTATAAAGCCCCAATTTCTATGTCACGAAGATAATGCTCTACTTTTTTTTTTTTTTTTATAATAGTGAGTACTTTTGCTCCCACTCTCACTCTCTTTCTCTCTCCCCCCACACATGTACACACACATATGCACAAAAATCTTCAACAAGGGTCACACTTAGTACAGAAAAATCATTCATCATCTAATAAGATGGGAGGCCCCTTTTCATCACTACTGTTTAAGTGTAGCTTTTAGCTAAAGGCAAGGAAAGGAAAAAAACAAAGATTGGAAGAGCCTGGCTGGTGTGGCCCAGTGGTTGAGTGTGCACCCATGAACCAGGAGATCATGGTTCGATTCCTGATCAGGCCACATGCCCTGGATTGTGGCTCAGTCCCCCATAGGGGGATTGCAAGAGGCAGCTGATCAGTGACTCTCTCATCACTGACGTTTTTTCTCTCTCCTTCTCCCTTCCTCTCTCTGAAATTAATTTTTAAAAAGATTGGGAGAAATGAGTTAAAACTAAAGTGGACATTATTTGAGACTTCTAAGTTGCTTGGATGGGAGGATCCAGAAAAGGGAGACATCAACGAGGGCACATCAAAGTATCAGAATGTCCTCGCTGGAACAGAAAAGCACCAAGATTTTCACCAACCTAAGATATGTTTTCTAAAATCTTTCTATGTTTCCTTAGACAAATGCCCGTGAATTGTGCCAGGGAAGAGTTAAACTCAATTGCTAGCTACATAATACAGAAATACGTAGTGAGCAGAGGTTGATCAATCAGTTTCTAGATGGTGGTGTGGGGTAACAAACACACAGTCCAAATATTTGAAATGTTATCAAATTCCCTATTCAAATCCATGGTTTCCTTTTTTTTTTTTTTTTTTTTTTTTTT